AAGTATAAACGTGTAAATCTCGAACTACTTGTTATTAAATATCATACAACAATGATTCTGACTACTGTATATTGTATGTACATTAAGTATAAACGTGTAAATCTCGAACTACTTGTTATTAAATATCATACAACAATGATTCTGACTACTGTATGTTGTATGTACATTAAGTATAAACGTGTAAATCTCGAACTACTTGTTATTAAATATCATACAACAATGATTCTGACTACTGTATGTTGTATGTACATTAAGTATAAACGTGTAAATCTCGAACTACTTGTTATTAAATATCATACAACAATGATTCTGACTTGGAATCCACTGAGTATTACTACACCATGTCTTTAACTCTGATATTTTTCAGTTCTATTTTAGTGAGGAACTAGAGAATAAGCCAGAACAAATCTGGTTTTAATGGAGGTCTGTCTGTAAACAATGTGTTCTGTTCAGTTTATTTGATAAAACAGGACAATAAGGTCAAGATAAATATATAATAAAATACATATTCCAAATTTGTAAATCCTAAACTATATGTAGATGTTAAGTCATATCCAACTTTACAGAAGGTACTAAGTTTAATTATCGAGTGAGCTAAGAAGTATCTAAACGTAGTATGAGTTCCACTAAAAGTAATGCACTACATTATCTGCTGTTTGTATTTTATCAGAATCACATCTTCAGGTAGATGACTGGGCCATTGTGAGCCTGGATTTGGGGGGCTGTCAACCATACCCTAACCTAAATGCTCTAATCTCATGGCCCAGATGAAGACAGCATCCAGGAATCTTCTAAAAATCTTGTTAGACATTACTGCCTATTTGTTACTGTTTAACTAATTTCTAGGTCACATTCTGTTCTATCAATTAGGAATTATGATGGGAAGAGATTCAACCATATGATTGATAAATCACTACCTTACATACCTAGAGGAGGAAGAAAACCAGGTTCTTCTATATGATTGAAGAATCACTACCTTACTTACCTGGAGGAGGAAGCCGAGTTTTTTCTATAACCAACTCTGGAATGTGCCACTTTTGTAGATCTTCATCCCATGTACTGTCAAACTTAACCTTGTCTAAGTTTGAGTAATTACAATCCCGTCGAATGCAGGGCTGAACCTTTTCCAGGATCTGCTGAAGGAGTTTTATCTGCTCATCTTGTTTTCTAATAGTTTCCAAATAGTCTGTCCGATCTTCTTCAAACTCACTGTGCAAGTCACTGATTTCTCTTTCAAGAGCTTGTATCTAAATTTGACAAAAACATTAAAGTAACTGGGTGTTAAACACATATGTTTAGATTGTATATAATTTTGACACAATAACTGTAGTAGTAGTATCTTAACATTATATAATGTAAAAAACTACTTATAATAAAATATTTCAATGAAGCAGCTCAAATGTGTGCTTTTCTTTCTTAAAATATTTAAGTTAAATATGTTTGATTTGCATACAACATGTGTCAGACGAAATATAAATACTATTACTGAAATTAGTACAATGCATAACACAAGGACCTTTACTTTTTACCTTATTGTACGACTTACTTCATGACATTTAACATATTCGGGAAAGTGAAGTTCACAGACCTTTTTTTTAGCTTTCTTCACAAGAATAGTTTTTGCTTTTAGTTCTTCGTGAATATCATCATACACTTTCAGCATAATGCCATCATCATCATCCAAATTAGACAGAGCCTCTGAAATATAAACATTTTAATCTCAACTCTTATACAGTGAGAGTAAAAATACATGTATACAACTCAAGACAAAAATCCAATTTCCATACAGAAAATTAGACAAAAACTACACTGACAGCTCCCACACAGAAGCCGACAAAAAAAACTACATAAAATAAAACTACCTAAAGTAAGCTTCCACAAAGGAAATTAGATAAAAGCTACACTGACAGCTCCCACACAGAAACAGACAAAAAACTACATAAAATAAAACTACCTAAAGCCAGCTTCCATACAGAAACTTAGTCAAAAACTCCACAAAATAAAACTACCTAAAGCCAACTTACACAAAGGAACTTAGACAAAAACTACATAAAATAAAACTACCTAAAGCCAACTTATACAAAGGAACTTAGACAAAAACTACATAAAATA